TATATATAACAACATTACATTGATTAACTCGATATAAAATTATACATTTCTCCAATTTATCCTATTTTAATAATAAACAATCGTATAGAAATTAAACATTTCCTTTCTTTTTCTTTTTTCTTTTTTTTTTAGTATTGTTATTTCCATTGATACTTCGAATTACGATGATGCAACCGTGTTCGTTAAAGAACTTCCACCCTAAAAAAGAGAGAGAGAGAGAGAGAGAGAAAAGTTACTCTAGACGGAACGTCATATAACGACAGAAATATAGAGGATAAAAATAGGAAAGAAAAAAAAAGATAAGAGGGAAAACGAAGGAAGGATGAACGAGGAGAGAGAGTGTGAAAGAAACGGGAAAAGAGGGTGACTATAGGGCAGACGCGTAAGAGGAAGGAGAGAAAGGGGATTAAAGTGATTCTCCGGCGAGAATCAGGGCGGAAAGACAACGCGAGTTACAAGATTTATTAGATCCCTGTCCCGAAGTCTTTTAATTACGATGGGATAATGTGACGAAAAATAGAATTATATATATATATATATATATACATTTTCGATGTATGTCTAGGAGAATGGAAGAAAACGAAACAACCGTTATATCGAATATTATTGCGAAAAGACAGAAGAATTTCCAGTGGAAAATAACGAAATAACATTAACGAGTAGTTTTGATATCGGCGTACCCCCCATGTGTAATGGGTTGCTCGCGAGTGGTGCACCTTGAGGACGATAAAGTGGGTATTAAACTGTAGATGAAATGGGCGAAACGAAGATAAGGAACAGAGACGAGTGCAAGAATTCACGTTGCAGCGGACGAAATGAGGTATAAATACGGTTTATTTTTCAACCGCCTGCTATTCACGCTCTTATTGCCTTCGATGTACCCGCGAGTCGAACAGGGGTGGGAAGGATCGGTTACCGGTTTCGAGGTAAATGAATTACGCGCAAGTATTTCCTTACTGCACGTGAAACGTTTTATTGGATAAAAATTAGATGAAAATTCGTCTCCTTGAAAAGAAAAAAATAATGTGAACGATCTTTCAAAATTCTCCCTCCTCCTTCTCTTCAAAAAAAAGCAAGCGACATGCAAATATCGATAAAAGAAAATTCTGCCTCGAATACACGCCCCTTTTTCCCCGACCGCGAAACCCCTGCCGCGTTTAGCTCGAGCGCAAGAATATATACATCTTAATAGGAATGGAGAATGGAGGGTGAACTCTCGTGCAAAATTTATTAAAACCCTCCACCCTCCCTCTTACTCCGTCTGGTTAACCGTTCAGAAAGCGGCGAGCGTACGTGAATTAAAGGCAATGACGACACGGTGAACATGTCCCTATACCGGGTGTTGTCAAAGGAGCCATCCGGTATGGGAGTTAACACGGTTAGATCCCGGGCCCCCTGGAAGTCGCTCGAGGGGTAATTAAAAAGAATGACCACGAACAGGCCGAGTGGTACATTGAGAATTTCGGTGGCGAAAGTGCTAAGATCCAGTAACGAGTAAGATCCAGTAAATGTTGATCGATTCACGAATTATATAAGAGGACAATTCGTTTCTTCTTTGGATCCTAATAATTTCTTATTTTTTTAAGAATTAATTAAGCTTTTATATCATTTCCTACTACTCGTTGTTTTCAGATAAATTGTATTAAATTTAAATTTTAATTGAATTGTTAATTATACGTACGAACAAATGATATATTTCTAATTTTGAAAATAATAAAAAAAGGGTATATATTGTTTTATAATCTCGTTGTTAAATACTATTATTAAAATTTATATGGTAAAATTAAGATCGAAATCATTGAAATAAATTGATTCTAATTCTAATAGAAATAATTTTGAATAAAATTTAAGTATGAATCAAGTTAAATCAAAGGTGATTATTATTATTATTATTTTTTTAATATATTATCGAATTTTATAGTGAAAGATTATATTCGAAATATTCTCGTGCCAGGAGAAGTGCAAATGAATTTTTCATTGGAATTCAATACGATCCATCATATTTCGCGAAGCGATTTATTGTTTAAAAATCAAACTTCAAATGCAAAATTATATTCCTTTCTCGTAAAATGAATATCGTGACGATCGCAAAACAGAATGAATAATTCATGTATACACATTTTTCGATATAAATATATGTAAAATTCAATTTTCTTTGAAGAACTATTTGTAAAATCGTTATTTAGAAAATAAATATTTGATTAAAGTATAATTAAATTTTAAATTACACGATTATAATATTATAGCGATTGTAATATTGTATAAATACACAAGCGAAACTTGTTGAAATACTTTAAGACAAATTTATACAATACTTTCTCGTTTAAAAGTGGAGAGCTAATTAATTTTCAACTACTTCAGATAACGAGCAAATTAATTAATTCGAAAGCCTGTACACCAGCCACAATAAATTATTTTTCGTTTATCCATATCGTTAAACCACCCCACACTCAAGTATGCGGATCTGGTTACAAGTCGAGCGGCGCTTGTTCCGATAATGGCATAATGGAATAATGGACGTTAAGTACAGTTGGAATCTGAATGATATTTCAATGGTGGATATCATCATTGAACCACGATAGATTGTGGAATTCGAAATCGTATCGGTTTGCGGTTAACGCTTAGTTCTATCCCCCGTTTTCGGTTTTCATTCTCTGTGTCCTTCGAACGTGAATTAACGCGTACGATGTTGTGTACAGACAATAATTTCATTAAAAATTTAAAGTTAAATATTATTATTAATAAAGTAATATTTATATGTATAATTAATTTTAAGTACTTTTTTAATTCCAATTATTGTTATAGATAAAACAATGAATTGATTAAAATGAAAACATAAAAATTTTATGATAATTTTAATAAAAATTTAATAGTGATATAGAAATATAATAATATTATCATATAATTAAATTATCATGTAAAATTACTTGAATAGTATAATTGAGAATATTCACAATATTGTTTTAATTATACTATATTTATTATATGTTATTTAAATATATTTTAATATATATATTTAGGTATATTTTTTTTCAAAAAATATACTTAAATATTTTAAAGTATAATAATTTAATCTAAATGATTTATTAAAGATTAATATGAAAATATACAAGTAAGTATTGAAATATTCAAACTCTATTCCATTTTACAAATCAAAACAAATACAAAAATTGATACAGAAATATTTATATCTAATATTGGTTAAGATTTATTTATCAAGTAATTGAAGTTTACATTAGATAAAATAAGATGAAGATATAGTTGTATTTTCCACCATAACGCGGCGCGCTGTATTATTTTACTTTCATCTCGCTTCATCTAATACAAACTCCAATTGCTAAATAAATTCAATCAATATTTTTGTATTTGTTTTATGATTTTTCGAATTGATTTTCTAAATATGTCCCAATGATGTTCTAAATATATTAACATAGTAATTCAAAGTTATAAAAATATAGTTTTTTTTAATTAATAGGGATTTTGTTCAAATTTTATCCCTATATTTTAGTATTTCAGCATATCTACAAACATTAAAATCTTAAATTTCCCTATTAGACACTGACATTCATTAATAAATGTTATAACCTTTTTAACTTTTCCTCAATTTTTTACAATGAAGTATCAATGGAATACTTTGATTTACTATACCTGTAGAAATATTTTTATAGAAACGAGAAGATATGCAGGTCATAGTAAATGGAAAAATATTAAAGCTACTAAAGAAGCTCAAGATGGTGAAAAATCAGCAATATTTAGAAGCCTAGCTTTTAAAATGAAAGCTGTAATTAGAGGTATTTATATAAGATACTTTACAAAGGTACTTTTTACATATAAAGAAAATAAATGAAAAATAAATAAAGGAAATTTTTTTATTTAAAGAATATAATTTTTTTTCTTTTGTTAAAGAAACTGGCAACTCGGATCCAACAAATAATGTAAAATTAGCACAGTTAATTGATCAAGCAAAAAAAGCTAATATGCCAAAAAATACATTAAAATCGATTCTAGAAAAATTACAAAACACAAAAAAAAATGGTACAACTTATGTAATATCCGTTCGCATTTCAAAAGAAGTTATGCTTATTCTTTACATTGTAACTGACAATATCATACTACAAAAATTACAAATCACTTCTATATTAAAAAAGTTCAAGTAAGTTCTTTCATACTTAAGATTTTCTTCTCTTCTTTTTTTTTTTTTTTATGAATATTATTATATTATATTTTAATTATTAAATTATACTAATTATTATAATTATTATACAATATTTAGTGCCAAAATTGTGGACTCTTCAGCACTGTTCAACTTGTTTGATTGTACAAGTTTTATTATAGCTTCTAAAAACTGTAATTTGGATCAAGCAATGGAAGATGCAATAATAGCTAACGCAGAAGAAGTAGAAGAAATAAAATATGAAAATAATGAATGTTTTAAGGTATTAATTGTTTTTGTCAATAATTTATTAAAATAATTTTTTTATTTCTTTATCATAAATTTTTTTTTATTTATAGTTCAAAGGTGAATTTCTTCAGCCAGAAAAAATTATAACTCAATTAGAAAATCTAGGATACACTATACATTCAACAAAAAATGAATGTATACCAAATACTAGGGTTCAAATATTAGAAAAAGATATAGAAATTATTAAAAAATGTAAAGAAAAACTTTTAACAGAAATAAAAGAAATTGAAAAAATAGAAGATAATATTTTGATATCTTAAATTAAAAATTGTAATTATTCCATAATAACATTATCAAATCAAATTTAAATCTTTTTGTATATGTCAGAGAATAATTTAACAAATAATAATTTAAAAAATGTGAATACATTTTATTTACATGTATAAAACATTTTTATTTCAGAAAAATATAAATAAAAAAAATTCTGTTTTTTAACAGAATTTTAATAATAAATATTGTTATCATTGTTTAAATCAATTATGTTTTATATATATATATATATATATATATATATTATGTATTATACAAAATATTGAAAATACACTTATTTCTTTATATTTCAGTGTATATCAGCACCGTAACCTTTTATATCATGCATATTAGATCCTGGAAAATCTACAGTGGAGTTTTTATTAAATAAAGATATTAATAGTCTTTTTGACATTTTAGCTTTTTGATTCCAAGGACTAGATGAAGTATTAAATGTTCTATTATTAAATGTTTTTGATTGTGTATTTTTATTATGTATTACATTTCTTTGTTCTACAGTTTTTTTTTCAAATTCTATACTATTGAAATTTTTATTATCTACATATTCGTTTACTAATTTTTTATGTTTTTTCTTTTCTGATTTATTTGTTTCATTTTCATTCGTGTTTTCTGTATTTTCTGTATTTTCTTTATTAGCAATTTTTTTTTGGTCTTTCTTTATCATTTTAGGATTATTTATAGCATCATCTTCTTTAAGTTTCTTGTTTTTTACTTGTATAGTTTCTAATTTTATATTTTTTTTTTCTATATTTTCCAAACTTTTAGCTTCAGATTTAATTATAGGATTAGTATTTTCCTCTTTTTCTATATTTGGTTCAATGCTTTTGACTTTATCTTTTGTTTTTTTCTTTTTTTTTTTAATAGTATCTTTTTGATCTTCATGAATTTCACATTCTTTTTCAAGTGTATTTATTTCTGAAATTATTTTTTTTTCTATTTTTTCATCATATTTATTCTCAACATGAATTTCTATTTTCTCTTTATCTTTTTTCTTTTTCTTTTTCTTACTCAGAACATCTATAGAGTTATCAAGTGTATTATCTTTTATTTTAATATGTTTAATCTTTATCTCATCTTCGCATGCCTTTTCTTCCTCTGATATTTCCACTATTGTTTCTAAATTCGATTGACGATTTCGTTTTTTAGATTTTTTACTTTTACGTTCATTAATTTCATTATCATGTACTTCTTCGGTTGTTTCTGCAACATCTAAAGCTTCATTGACAAAACCAGATAATATTGAATTATCAATAATAACATGTTTTTTCTTTTTTTTAACTTTTTTATTTTCAACTTCGAACTTATCTAATGTAGTTCTATTTTTTTTCTTTTTTATACAATCTGTACTATACTCTACGTGATCATTAAATGTTACTCTTTTCTTATTTACTTCATCACTCAAATCTAAAGCTGAATTTGTAACACCAAATTGTACTCTAGATACTTCAAATTCTTTTCCATTATGTATTTCATTATCTTGATATTCTAAATTTAAACCAGCATTCACTATACCATTTGCACATATTTTCTCATTTATATTATTTTCTTTAAATTTTTTAACTTTGTTGCTTAAGTTTAATTCAATGTTATTAGATTTTCTTTTCTTAGAAAATTCAATTTCATTATTAAAATTTGAAATATTTTCAGAATTTAATTGTATACAAGGATTATCAAAAACATAATTGCAATCATTTTGTATTTCTTTACTTTCATGAGATTGTACTTTTTTAAGTGCAGAATCAAATCCGAATCCAGGATATTCAGATTCTTCCTTATTCTTCTGATGTTTTTTATGTTTATTTTGCATCAAAGAAAAATCTTGACCTTTTTTCATGAAATATTCAGTCATATTACCACCATTTATAGTTATAACACCATTTCTATTTTCCTGAATACCAATTGAACTATTATCGTCCTTATTGTTATTATTATTTATATTTAGTTCTTTTTGACCAAATATATTTGCTAAATCTTTTGCACTATATTTATTTATATCTTTTCCTCTTGTAAATTTTTGATAGCTAAGGATAATAATAAAATAAGAAAAAATGAAACATTTTTATATTTTAATATATTATATATAACTTACTGAACACGAGCACGACTTTGTTTGGATTTCAATTCTAACGATTTTCCACTTAATACATTTTTATTTTCTTCTGTTTGCGCATTGTTAATTTCATTCTGTTGAAGTTTTTGTAAAAAATCATTAAAATTATCTTGGTGTTCTGTCCATGCTTCATTAATACTATCTTTTTTAAATCCAATGCCTAGAAAAAATAAATAATTTTTATTTGATATTATTTATTAAATATAAATTGTTAAATAACATTTGTATTATTAATTTATATTAATTATTACCTGCTGTATCATTTTTAAACGATACACGAACATGCTCTGTTATACCCTGTTCGTTTGCTCCAAGTCCTTTACCATTTGTCCAACCCATCTTTTCTAGCATTTTCTGTCCAAATTTGTTCGAATCTACTTTCGAAAAGACATAAATATCATTAAAATCTCAAGACACAGTACTTATACTTATTTATTTAAATAAAATTTAATAAATTAAAATCTTTACAAACCTTCGCTCCATTCTTTTCCTCGAGGATTAAGTGACCATTTTTGTTTTCTACGAGGTTCCGCAAGCATAGACATTTTATTTAAATTTTTAAAGTTATAATTAATTTATAATATTAATATAATCACTGTATTGTGAAAATTTTCCAATAATTAATTCAATTGTTTTTATATTTTTTTCTATAGTTTCAAAAAAAGATATGTAGACACCATGCCAAACATATTTGTACCACGAACAAGATATAACATAGATAATCTTTTGAATTCGCAGAATATAATAAACAAGGAAAGCGAATAATGAATAAAGACAGATTAAAAATTGTGAAATCAGCGCCATCTCTAGAGTGCAAATTTAGAAACAAAAATTTAAAAAGAAAGGAAATAATGTAAGAAAGATAGAGATATGTAGAATTAGCGCCATCTTTATGAAACACGCAAATGAAACAAGTACAAAGAAAAAGAAAGAATAGTAAAAGAAGGAAAAAAATAGATAAGAATTGATCATGAACGCCATCTCTTGAGCTTTTAGGAAGTTAATTCTAAAGAAATGTCTTTAATACTCAAGAGATAGCACTGTTGATTCTTATTTTATCTATTCTTCTTTCACTATTTCTTCTCCTTGTTTAAGATTGTTTCATTTGCGATATACTAGAGATGGCGTTGAATCCACATTTTTAATTTATCCGAGTCCTATTCCTATTATATTATTTATCTCCTTGTTTATATTTAGTTTATACATTCGAATGATAACAGTAATTTCTAATTAAGTTTATAACATTTTCAATTATTCAATTAATCAATTAAAAATCTAAACAAAATTATTCCATTCTATTTTTATATATCATAAAAAAAATTTATTATATATTTAATATATTTTATATATATAGATTTTTTTTATATGTCATATTTCGTATATATTTTTATATTTTTATGTGTCATATATAATATTTATATAATATTTATAACATTAATATTTAATATTTATGATGAAGCAATGAAATTAGACTAAGTTGCTAAATTACATATTAAATAATATAAATGTACGTAATCAAATATTAATCTCCATAGATAATAATTAAAAATTTGTCTAATAGTTTTAAACTTCTTAAACAAAAAAAATTAAATGTAAATCAAGCAAATTATTTTTAATTCTAAAAAAATTTTTTTATATTTATCTTTTATAATAAATTCGAATATTTTTTGACAATTTTTTTAATTCTAAAGGATATAAGAATTGTTGATCTATACTACTGTATGATAATATAGTTAATTACATTATTTGCCCTATAATTTTATATTCAATCTATTACTTATCCGATTAGTATTAATTATTGATAAATACTATTAAAATCAATCAGTAAACTTAAACTTTAGTAATCATTAATACAAAAATAATAAAATGAGATAATCTTCAAATTCTTAGAGCATCAAAATGCATTGTTCGTTTAATCTATACATCATATACATCTGTATATGTATATTCTATTCAAATAAGTTTTCCTATTCTAATTAAATATTATTATATATTATATATATATTACACATGTGACACTGTCGATTTAAAATTAATTAAAACAATATTACTGGGGCGAAAGGAATTCTAATTAAATTTTACGCTATTATGACATAAATATACATTTCTTCCTTATTTTCTTAATTCATCATTGTTATTATCATACGAATTACATTATAAATATTAAAATAACAATAATTCGTTTTGAAGCTATAATTATTATTATTAAACCAACAATATCACACAATTTTACACTAATTACTAACCACTTAAGAATCAAATAACAAAACGAAACACATATTTTGCTTCGCTTTAACAAATTAATTTTATAACCTAATTAAATCTAACATCAAAAATTAACATCACGACGATTCAAAAAGGACAAATTAGTAATAAAACCA